AAAAATGAAACTTCTCGCGCCCCTTCTTAATAATAATAAATTCGTCTACTTGTAAGGGTAGTAAGAACAAAAAATAATTTATAAAAGTTTTATTTCAGACACACATGGTAAGAAAAAAATACATAAATCAATGAGATGTAATCAGCGCGAGACATATTTTTTACAAGGTATTCACTTCTTGATTGAACAGAAGAAAGTGAGTACCGCAAGTCACTAACAATACTAAATTTACTTCTATAGTTCACTTTTATTGCTACAATTGCTGAAAACGCTCTTTCGCACAAATAAGTGCTTGAAAATACACTCATGTCCATAAATTAAGGATAATGCAAAATCAGGCAAAGGAAGAGTTAGAAGCAAAACAAATTTGACTTATTTGTAAAGCTTATTTACTAAACAAAAGGTCAAGAGCAAAAAAAGATGCTATATGTTTGATATTATTAAAAAAATAGCGATTTTTTCACCCTGAAGCAAATTACAAAAATAACCTATTTACAAAAAACCAATATTACATGGTTGGTATGACTGTTAATACATTGTATGTCTCCCAGACGATGCAATACAGTCCGTACAACGCCTAGGCATGCTGAGTATCAAATTATCGAAAGCGATGTTCTCCGAAGTTCCGGTAGACATGTAGGAGGAGGTTGACAGGCTGCCACCAACTCGTCGGCCAACCATGTCCCACACGTGCTCTACTGGATTCAAGTCCGGTGAGAATGCTGGCCAGTCATACGGGTGATATCCTCCGATTGAAGTCATTCGCTTACGATGTTTGCATGGTGAGGACGGGCGTTGTCATCCATAAACACAAATTGTGCGCCCATGGCGCCCCGAAACAAACGTACACGTTGTTCCAGAATGACGTCCCGATAGATTTGGCTTGTCATGGTTCCAATTTGAACATGCATGTCAGTTCTGGAACCCAGAATAATTCCACCCCAAATGAGCACTCCTGCACCACCGTCACGGTGTCGTTCAATGATGTTTTCTTGGTGGTAACGGGTACCTGGAGCTCTTCATATCAACCTCCGGCGAAAAGGCGAGAATCAGACTGCAGGCTAAACCTGGACTCGTCGGAAAACATCACACAAGCCCACTGTTGCGGTGTCCGCAATGCATGCTCTCTACTCCAGGCTAACCGCAGGCGACAGTGAGTTGCAGTAAGTGGAACGCATCAGACAGGTCGACGAGTATATAGACCAATCTGCCCTAAGTGTCTGTACACGGTCTGCCTTGAAATTGTCGTACCAGTGGCTAAAGAGAGCTGACGAGACAGGTATGAGGCTGTGCTCCGCCTGTTTCTTTTCGCAGTAACTACCAAATACCGGTCCTCATTCGCCGTTGTAACTCTGGAGCGAGCTGTGCTGTAACGTCTACTCACATTACCATCATCTTGGGATCGTTGCCAAAGCCTGGAGATGACACTCTGGGCAGTTCCAAGTTGGTTTGATACTTCCAGTTGGGTACGTCCCCATTCCAGACGGCCGATAATTCTACCACGTAAAAAATTATCCAAATGCGTCCTTTGTGTCATAACTATTCGGTTATTGCTTTGAAATGCTTATAAAGCTCCTGCGAAAAATTTTTACTTCCTGTATTCCTTATTATCACTCTCTTACACTCTCGTCATTGACGTACATCGTGTCATCTGGTTACTTCCTGTTTGAAATTTGCATAGAGTGTGATGACAGGTGATATATTTAATTTAGAGTTCGATTTCCGCGTGACTCCGAATTATCCTTAATTTATGGACATGAGTGTAGTAAGCATATTTTAGTACTTGCTCTGCTATGCTGGGATAAACTCTGAGCCATTTTACCCAAAATAATAGCTTATCCACCTTCTCGAAGGAAGAAATGGATAATAGCTTATCCATTCTTCGAAGGAATGGAAGTCATATTTGGCTGCAGAATCATTTTTAATTTCCAAAGCTTGCTCTTGTAGCTTTTCTGGTAACACATCTATGTCAACGTGAAAAGGATCTGCCGCCGTTCTATAAATATTCTTATCACACGAGTTAGGGAAAGAACGTTCAATCAGTGAGCTGCTTCAGAGGATTTCATATTTTATTCTTAGTATCCTTAAAAACATCCCTAAAGCGCCCTTCTTCCATGATTCTAAATAATTTTGGAAAGAAGGAATTTATACGTTTATTGTGTATATTTTAAATAAAACTAGTATATACTCCAATCAGTATTAAATCTATTAATATAAGGACTCAATAAATTTCAAGACTTAGCCCTCTGATAATTTTCTTGATGCTGGATTACATTCCGAATATCTGCTAGGGAAAAAGTAATGTCTTTTTTAAGAAATCAATCATAACGTAGAAATAATCATCAGACACGACTTAGCTTTTCTTAGTTTTATGATGACACAATAGTATTTACATTTTTAGTTTAAAATGACAATCATTTAAATAACAACACAGCCGATTCAAAAATTCCCCCAAAATCGAGTTCAAGTTAAAGTTCTAAATAAAAATGCTAGTTCTACGGTTTCCGTCTGGTTTCTCTGTGTTACCAACACACTGGAATCAAAAACTGTTTTCTTTTTCACCTTTTTTTCTTTTACCTGAGTAGGTGCCACGAAGGTAGTCATTTGAAGAAGAAATGCGTTTAAATATTATCGTTTCCAACACGTTCCTAGAGTTACAACTTATCAGTATACGCTGTAATAACATTCCGATAATAAATTAATTTCGAATCTTCATCTTCTAATTTAAAATTTAATGAATCGAAAATATCATATAGAAAGCCAATACAGCTTGAATACTTAGCTGTCCCAATTCCACATATTATTCAGCTTGTGTTTCAATTTCCAAACACAGAATAACTTCTTTATCTCGAAGTTCAATCTTTCTGCTAACATATTTCCTATCGAGAGTCATCATACTTCCATATGAAATAAGTGTTTTATGTTCTATTTCCAATCCTAAGCATGCAGTATAGTGTACAAGCAACTTCATCTGCTACAAATTTCGTGACATCTGCTTAAACTCGTGGCGAAATAAAGGTCTTCACCATGCATCAAATAACTACAAGGAGGTTAGAATAAAAGGAGGGAGGGTTCGCCGTTTCCACTAATTGAAACAAACGCGCATCCATGTTTGTGACTTAAAAAATTGCATTCGTTAGACATACGTGTTAAAGCTGTTCCGGCATGTATTCCAGTAAAAATATGTTAAATTTATAATGAAATGCTTCGCTATTGTTGAATTTTTGTTTTAAAGTAATAAAGATGATATCCATAATTTACATGTAGAGCAAATTTAAGAAATAGTTCGAAATCTAAATGCATGCGCATAACTTACCTTTAAAAATGATGTTTCTGCATATTTCACGGATTTGCTTAGGTTTCATTAGCACCTGTTTATGTACTTCCCAATTATTCCTTTAAAAAGTGATAAATCTGATTATCCATTTATCATAATTTATTAAAATCTTCATATACAAGTTTAAGGTATTAAGCTGTCTCGTTCTGCATTTTTAGGAACCTTGAAATAATAAATAATTCTAAAAAATAGTCACAGGTGCATTTTTTTAAATGAAGTTTTAAATAAAGATCCTTTTCACAACCAACAACCTTATAACAACAAGAAAATCAATCATAATAAAATAAAACAGATTATGGAATTCAATTATTTCAGTTATGCGCATTTCATATTTTAATCAAAGACACTGCCTTTAATTACTGAATTAAAAATACACCTATATAAGTTTTTGGATATATCTTTTCACATGTTCAATTTGTTTAAAATTTTACATAATTTTATCACTATATGGCCAGAAATTGTAAGTTTATGCACGAAACTTTATCTTAACTAAAAAAATGAAAATAATTAATATAAAAAAGCATTGCTTATTTAACATCTTTACAATTAATAAAATAGTAATAAATATTTCTTACTTTTCATGAAGTTATAAAAGAATTCCTAAAAGTTCAAATATACATTAAATCCTACCATACATCAGTATCTAAGGAAGGAAGATACAGCTATAACAAAACTTAAATGTATTTAACATTTTGATATAGTTTCTTACTAACATGTTTTGATTATTAAGTCCTTTTTTTCACATCTGGAAAAACAACATGACATTGTGATATTTTTTTTAACATATGCATATTAATTAAAAAAAATCATATTATGTGTGAAAGTTATGCCGGAATTTTTTCGAGAATCTATTTTTGCATCCATCCAACACAAGCTGAATACTTCAAAAGAAAAGAAAAATGTTGCAATGACGAATTACTACACAAGTCCGGGATAACAGGAAGATGGCCGCCACGCTTCACCGTTTAAGTTGAACCTTCCCTCCTTCTATTCTAACCTCCTTGAATAACTACAACATCATGCGTTGAAGTAGAAGGCATGGGAAGGAAATCCAAGCTTCAGGAGGTAGTAGAAGTAGAACAGCTAGAACATCGAGTGAAATTTTCTCATTGGAAGAATTCGAATTGAATCTTACTACATTAGAAGCTTAATGTTCCAACCTGATTTATCTAACTAGACAAATTACCTAGTCGACATATTAAAAGAATTAACAGAATATCTGCGACTAACATATTAAAAATAACACAGATAACATACCACTGATCCATATTACGATACTTATGGTAAATGGTAAATGTAACCAACCATGTGTAGTGATCTTCAATGTCATTCCAGTTTCAGTTTTAATTTAGATTACGTGTCATACCCAATTTCAATTTTTATCATATGATTAATTTTGCAAAAGTACAATTTTATATCGGCGTTAACGTAATAAGCTAAATTATGGAAATCAAGTTGAAACTTTTTTAAAAATTATGAACCGCGTTGACACTATTATAAGCCCTCAAAATAGATAAATAAATGTTTGGCTTACATGTTGCATTTTACCTATCCTAAGGCTACTATAAAGTATCTCTAGTAGCTCTAACCTATCCATATTTTAATTTTTACTACTGCTTAATGTTTCTTTCTGAAGAGAAAGACTTCGTAAGCTGATGCACTAGTTGAGTATTGTCTATTTTCTTGTCATTTAAAATTTTAAGGAAATTTTCTGGATTAAATGTGTACAAAGTAAGTTATTTCATATTTCAGAAATAAAATTTGCCAAATAAAATGTGTTTTATAAAATATTTACATGTCAGATCTATGTTTATAGTGCCCTGATGAGTATAATTTTCTCAGATGTGTGTGTGGACTTACCGGTTCTTGTTTTCGTAGAAGATTTATATGATCTGTGTTCATGAGATAAAAAGGTTAATGTATAAAATATCTTATATATCACCAGTGGGAGGAAAAATATTAGTCATTACTTTAATAATCTGCCTCATAACTCAATCTATACATCTTTGGAATTAAATGATATCAATGTTTGTTCAGAATTAATTTTTTTTCCTGTATGGGGGGGGGGAAGAATATTTTGCAGTATGTTTCATAAGAGCCCAAAATTTTTATTTTTATAATTTTCCTAACAACTGAGGTGTTAGCGAAATTTTGAGTTTTAAAAAAAACCCTAAGAAATCATTTGCATTCGTAGTATGATATGCTTTCATACTACAGTCATACTGTTTATGTTAATTCACATAATTCTTCATCAATATTTTCGATGATTCTTTATTCTATATAGAATATTTTAGCCGCGATCCGTAACTTATTTTAAAAAGTTGAATTTAATGTGATATCGTATGTTACTGCCAAAGTAAAATGTGTTTGAGTAATGAATTGATTAAATATATGTGGATCCATTATTAGCATTATTATAAATTATTATCTTTTAATTATATAATCAAAAATAAAATATCGATAATTCATGAAAATATTTGATTCTATTTATATTTATATATTAAGCAAGGTTTTATTATCATTTTTATTATTTTGATACTATAAAATGCTAAAATTAAAGCATATTGCATAATAACATTTAATAAACATTAAAATTTATTATCATCATGAAAAGTTATGAGAGGACAAAGTAGCTGTGTGAGAACAGAATATATTAAATATAAAGATAATAAGCGAGTACATCAAAAATATATATATATATATGTGATAAAGTCAGAAGCGAGAAATTTGATGGCGTAGAAGTGTTGATCCATAATGAATAGGAAACTGGAGGCGAAGACAGATTAAATCTTCATTTTTTATTTCAGCAAACATGTTGTGGCCACACGCTAAATGGCACATTAAATGTGCCTATTCCAAAAAGCTTACATTTTTGACAGATTTGCAATAAAAAGGAAAGAGCAGGCACACTGAAGCTCAGCTAAGCCAATTTGTAGAAAGCAAGTGTGTAATGTTCAGGATAAAATCTTAATTCAGATTGAGTTAGTTTTTGTTCTCAATGCATTTTGATTGATAGTTAATATTACTGTAAATTACTATTGGCTGCTTGATTTAGTTTCCAGTTTACATCACCAGAATTAGTAACAGTCATATGACTTAAATAATTTAGAAAGCGTCAGTGCAGAGAGGTTACTATTTTTAGAATTGAGAAGGAAGGAAAATTTATGTTGCTAATTTAATCTTTTACATATTTTTAATTTTACAATAATACAGTACAAAGTCTGTAATCCGGACTCGCGGGACTTCGGCGTTCCAGATTAAGGTTTTTCCGGATTTAGGTCTCAATTTAAATTGGTAAATGGCATGCAGAATTATACAATTAAAATGTGAACCGTAATTTTGAAATAAGGCAATATGATTAGGGATCAAATTTACAAAAATCTGGCTGATCTTGAATATGGTAACAGGTAGTTTTGGCGACATTTTGGAGGCGATAAAGGTTACTACCTAGGACTTTGGTAATAATAATGTGAGAAGTACTCAGTTCCGATTACGCATTATTTTGCGTGAGGGAAATGAGAGATCATGAGATATGTCATGTGACATTAATGGACGAATTACAGTTGTTTAATCGGAAAAGGGGGTTAATTTGGAAAAGCTTCATTGTGTGTTGTGTGAAATAGTGTTGATTAATTTTCGGATTGAATGGCGCTATGTAAAGTGAATTCTAAATTTTTAATGCGTTTATCTGATAATAATAATAAGTTGAGATTGTGAGTGAGTGAGTGAGTGCACCGCTATGATGGCTTCCGACCACGTGAAAGGAAGGATATTACAGATAAGTTTGAATGGCGGTGCAAGAAAAAATCTGGTGAAAATGGACATTTTTGTGAAACGGAGTGTAAGGAAGGGTACGTGGTTTGCTGAAAGTAGTTTGAGTATGGGTGAAATTTTATTAATTTCTTATTACTGGGTGAATAGACTGCCAGTTGACTACTGGATTTCGGATTTAGAAATTAGCAGTAGTACTGCAGCCGATTGGAACTCTTTCTGTAGGGAAGTGTGCGTGCCACGTAATGAAGATTCTGAAGAAGATTAGGTAAGTTAGTATTTTTAATCATTTGAGGATATTATTTTTATGCATTGTTCTAAATGTAAGGAGTAAATAAATTAATATGGTATTATTGGAAAATTGTTATTAGCAATGATTTAGTTTAAAGTAATTAGGATTGTAATCTAATTTTTATTAATTTAATGTATGTGCTTATTTATATTTTAAGTAGTGTTTTTTAATTTAATTATTTTAATTTAATGATCGTGATTTTGTGAGTTATATGTTTGTAGTATTTTGGAATACGTTTGAGTAGTATACGTTGAGTATTTTCATGCATTTTCGTGAAATTTTTCTAATTTATGAGAAAAAAGCAGTGTACATGGATATAGTGAAGAGTGTGCGCAATGCCATTTTTGTGCAATTTCTGGGATGTTTTTTAAGTAAAAATAAGTCGACGTGTACATGGTTTAGTGATATTTTAATTAAATGATAGTTATTTTGTGAATTTTATGTTTGTAGCAATTTGGTATACGTTTCAGTTGAAGTAAACGTGCATGGAAATAATTTAAATATTTGACACTAAGTATTTTTAATGTTTGCGGTAGAAATTCGTTGCTGACGTTTATAATATAATAGATAATTTAGAGGTAAAAGTTTTTGGATATTTTATTTATTTTATACGTGGAAATGTTCATCCTTGGAAAGGGTATATATACTTTTTCGCGATCAGGTAATTTCATATATGTTCTTTTTACCGAGTTTAAAGATTCAGAAAATTTTGCATTTTCGTGAAATTTTTCTAATTTATGAGAAAAAAGCAGTGTAATGGATAAAGTTAAGAGTGTGGCAATGCCATTTTTGTGCAATTCTGGGATTTTTTTTAAGTAAAAATAAGTCGACGTGTGTAATGGTTTATGTGTATGTGCTATTCTGAAAAACGCGCAAGGAGTTTGCGATTGTGCACTTTTTCCCAATTTTGCAGTTAATATTTGTCATGATTAAGCAGTTTTTTTTACATAAAATTTCTAGCATAAGTGTAATTTGGCTAGTAGATTGTTGAAAAAAGTGTTCAGTAAATAAAAAGAAAAGAAACATGTCTTTACTTTGTGAAGACAAAATGGCGGAAAAAAAAAAAAAAAAAATAGAGGGTTGCTGTAGCAGAGTTGGTCGCCAAATTTTCGCCAAAAAATCGCCAAGTTACCATAATCCAAGGATCAACCAATAAGCTTAATATTTATTTGTTTGCTTTATTAAACATTTCTTTCAATGTAAGTTGTTTAAGTTGCTCCGTTTTTTTGTGCTAAACGCGCATGCATAAACATTAAACGCGCATGCGTAAAGCATACAAAAAAAAAGGTTTGTGGCTTTGAGGTCCGGATTATAGATTATTCTGGATAATGGACGTCCGGATTACAGACTTTGTACTGTATATATATGAAATATGTATAAAATTAGTAAATTTGCAAAATTATCCTCAGAATTTTCTACACTTGACAAATTTACTATTTTAATGCACTGCAGCAAATCTACAGTCCACTATTTTAAGGCGTTCTGTGAATGAAAATGGCATATTTCATGAGAAAAAATTCAAAATTTTGTCATTAACATAACATGATATACATCAGTGTAAAGATTGCTTTTTGTTTTTTTTTTTTTCTTTCAGGGTCTTTAATGTAATTATAATTGATTGTTAAATAGAGCAATCATTAAACAGAGAACAATAAACTGATAGTTAAATAGAACAGTATCTCCTATAGTGTGGGTTGTCAATTCTGTCAGTATATCAGACTATTTGAAATTGGACTAATTGATGAACTACATACATACAAAAAATAACAGTTGGTTCCAAAATGTTTTTCCTCCATGTTTTTCAATAAATAAAATTAGTTAAATAAATGTAAATGTGTTTATTAGAAACAGTTTAAAAAATGCACATTTTGTAATTCATTATTTATTCTCTAAAAATTGCACTGCTAATGCCTGAACAATTTTCTTCTTTCATATTTTCTTTTCATGAATTTCTTTAGGTACCTTCTGATTAACTGCACCCTTTTAAAAAGTTGGCAAAGTCATATGACCCTTTTAAAAAGTTGGCAAAGTCATGTGACTTTTGGATTCTGCTTTTGGATTCTGCTGACTTTGGCAAAAAATGTTTGTTGGGTATCTTTATGGCTTTGTAAGTACTAATCTGCTCCTAAATAGTAATAAAAAGAATCATTTTATTAGAAGCAAGAACTTTTTTTTTTTGGAGGAAGAAAAATCTACATGGCCAATATTTACATTTTTACAGCCAGTGGATACTACTATTAGATTAAATATAAAGTATATAAATCTTCATGTACTCAAACTTATGTATGGTTTGTGCATATGTAAGTTGACTATGGCCATGTTAATACAATAAAGTATAACAAAAGCACAGCATTTTTGCCATATGTTCAAACCAAGGTTACGGAAAATCAGAAAGAACCTTTCTTTGAGCGATGAATTGTACTGTTTACTGTTAGGTGAATTTTACATTTAACATTGGGATCAATTCTAACAGTGCTTATAATATGTGACAAAGTTTTAACCATTGTAATAACTTTTGATAATTGTTCAGCTGTTAATTCTCATATAGGCATTTCAGTAGAGTCGTCGTCTTAGTTGTTTACCCATTCTTCATAAGCTCATTTTTCATTTGTGTTAGAAAATGTTTCTTTATATAATATAATGCATTAATATCCAGTTGGATGCGTTCTCCTATGTTGATGGAATCTAACTCATTAAAATGAAATAGCTGTTTAACTTCCACTATGCTGTTAGTGGCGTCAGCAAAATAAATTAAAAATTCCAATGAAATAATTTGCATGTTGTGGTTGGATTGGTTTTCATTCTCCTTTCATATTGATTTTGTTAATTAATGGCATGCTTCAGCAATATACAGTCAAAAGTCGTTAATCCGGACTCGTCGGGACTTCGGCAATTCCGGATTATCGATCATCAGTTTAAATCTGGTAAGATGGCATGCAGAAATTACAAAATTAAAAATATGAAACCGTAATTTATGAAATAAAAAACAATTATGATCTAAAGGGTATCAAAATTTACAAAAAGAAATTGTAATAACAAATAATATTTATTTGTTTACTTTATTAAACATTTCTTTCAATGTAAGTTGCTTCGTTTCATGTGATAATACTTTCTCTTTAATTCTATTAAACAGACATAATTTCTTGTTTAGTTACAAAGTTCCGCTGTTCAAGTCCTATAATTGCTGTGTTGAGAATACCGACTAATTTGTCAATCGAAATGTTTTCGTTTTCAATAACCTCTGGGTCACTTTCTTCACTATCGGAAGCGAATTATAATGACGACGAACTTGATTTAAATCATATCAAAGACGGAGTACATCGAGATGAAATACTACACTTAGTAAGGAATTATAAGCCAAATGAAATAAAAACATCTGCTCTGAAGATAAGGATAGTGCTGACAGATCAACTTCCAATCCGCGGCGTGAAATTGATAAACAGATTTCAGATTTCGAAACATACTTTCGCTTTGTAGATACAAATTGCATATTAGTAAATATATATTGGAAATTCTATTTGACATAATTGAAAGTTCAAGCTTACTTTTATGAAATTGCTCTAACAGTCTGCAAAAAATAATAAGCCGGATCCAATTCGAAGTTTAAGGAACAACGCAATCTGCAACATTAACTGAATTAGATAATGTTAGCTTAGCTTATACCGTCCGTTACACATTAAACGTGCATGCGCACAAACATATTCGCAGCTGTAAAGGTCTTACGCGCACTCGTAAATGCCTGTGCGCATGCGTGAACGCTACGCATGCGCAGAAAGTTTGTAGCTTTGAGGTCTGGATTATAGATCATTCCGGATTATGGGTTTCCGAATTAACGACTTTTGACTGTATTCGGTAACATTTCTGATATCATTACTGTCTCAGAATTCCATTAAAGTAGGCAAACTTTTTCGTGTTATAGCTCTTATAGCTTAGAGGGAAAAAAGTACTGAATATCATCTCATCAACCATGAAATTGTCACCAAGTGGTGGAGGTTATAGATGAGCATGCTAAAACAATACACTTAAAACATCTGCATTTTCCAACAATGTAACTTTAACTGATTCTCGATAAGCCACATTTTGTTTTTATGAAATAGGATATCAGTTGACTGTTATTGCTATATTTCTTGTATTTTGAAAAAAAATATTAAAATTTGGGTTTAATAATTATTAAGGTTTTAATAATTGTTAAAATTATTAAAACCTTCTACAGAACTGCAAGTGTAGTATTTTCAAAGTTATGGAGGATACTCCCATCAGAAAAAGTGTGTATTAATAGACAAAATATGGCAGACAGAACAGTAATAGATTGAAACAATTACTGTGGAAAATTTGTACTTATAGCATTAAAACTAAAGAGCCTTACAAAATAATAGAAAGTGATGAAAACTTTTCTCTGATCATACACAGCCAATCAGTCAGTGCTTGATAACCAGTTTTATTTGCTATACTAAGCATGTCCTTGTATTCCTGCTTTTGGATTATGCTTCTGACAGTGGATGCAAGAACATGACTTAAATGAGGTGAAAGTCCAAGTGGTAAAGTATTTAGAAATACCTCCTTGGAAAGATGCACACATTGAGCTTCTCAACACATTTCTCAACTTAGCTAATGGTAACACCAGTGTTGTCATATACAATCAGATTTTCTATAACATAGACAGGCTTTCAATGACTATTTTGCAGTATATAGCGATGGATCTAAGTCCCAGGGTTACATCGGCTCTGCCTTCATATGCAAGAATACTATTAAGGGAAGGAAACTTCATCTTGCTTGTACCATCTTTACTGTGGAGATCGTTGCTCTACTATTAGCTCTATTCTTCATAGGTAAACACCATAGGAAAAATGGTAAAAGTGTATTTTAGTGTACCCTTTGTCAAAACTTGGCGATTTTTGGTGGCTTATGGATACCGAGTTTAAAATAACAGGACAAAGAATTGCACAAACTCGGTACCCATGTACACATTGACCTATTTTCACTTAAAACAAAACCCCAAATTGCACAAAAATGGCATTGGGCACTCCCTTGACTTTATCCATGTACACGTCGACCTATTTTCACTTAAAAAAAAATCCAAGAATTGCACAAACTTGCATTGTGCACTCCCTTCACTTTGTCCATGTACACATCGATATTCGGGACTTTGGCGATTCCGGATTATAGATCATCAGTTTAAATCTGGTGAGATGGCATGCAGAAATTATAAAATTAAAAATATGAAACCGTAATTTATGAAATAAAGAGCAATTATGATCTAAAGGGTATCAACATTTACCAAAAAAAAAAAAAAAAAAAGCTTAATATTTATTTGTTTACTTTATTAAACATTTCTTTCAACACGCGTATGCATAAAGCATACATTACGCATAGTCGAAATTAGAAAATTGCAACCAGAAAACTATTTGATGTGTGCTCTTGATATTTATAATGACAAGGAATTTGATTTAAATCCTATCAAAGACGGAATACATCGAGATGAAATACTACATTTAGTAAGGAATTATAAGCTGAATAAAATAAAAACATCTGCCGTGAAGATATGGATAGTGCTGACAGATCAACTTCCAGTTCATTGAGTGCTGCGACATTCCCCCCCTCCCCCGGCAGAGTAACGTGAAATTGATAAACAGATTTCGAAATGGTTAGAGAAACAAAGGATATGCCTTTATCCATTTTTTGCAGCAATTCCACTTTTTGTTTGATGGACATTGAAACATACTTTGGCCTTGGCAGCTCCAGCATCGGAAATTCTATTTGACATAATCGAAAGTTCAAGCTTACTTTTATAAAATTGCTCTAACAGTCTGCAAAAAATAATAAGCCGGATCCAATTCAAAGATTAAGGAACAACACAATCTGCAACATTAACTGAAAGAGATAATTAGATAATTTTAGCTTAGCTACTGTCCGTTATACATTAAATGTGCATGCGTGAACGCATTATCCGTTGACGCATGCGCAGAAAGTTTCTAGCTTTGAGGTCCGGATTATAGATCATTCTGGATTATGGGTGTCTGAATTAACGACTTTTGACTGTATTTTCACTTAAAAAGTCAAAGGTGTACCCAATTTTACAATACAGGCAAACAAAAAATACATAAACTCAATAAACTACATTTTAAACCAAACAATAAAATAACATAAAAAAGGAAAAACATGTTATACATTTAAGCACTACAAAAAGCAAATATCCACTTACCCTATTTAAAAGTTCCTTCATCTTTAGTCTGTGGCACTTAAAATTCCTTAACAGCATCCAAAAACTTCCTAAAATTATCTGAACTGGAGTCCGTATATCGGCATTGCCACATCTGAACCTTTCTTCCTACAAACCCATTCAAATCCATCTAAACGCTTTTTACGTTCGACTAGACGCATATCCTTCAAGGACACTTATAGTGGCTACTAAATTAAACATTCATTTACACACCAGTCAATTAATGCTCTTTTCCCCTTTCATTAAAAATCGTACAGAAACTTCAAATTAATCTTAATATATTCAGCCATTCTACCGTCTAAACAATAAAACCAACACACACCACAAAAGCACTTACAAAAACATCCCATAATTCAAAATTTCCCAGAATCGTGCACCCGATTAAGTCACAATAGGGTTTCCATAACATTCAACTACTCAGGCTACCATAAATGAAACAACTTTGCCATACTACAAGGAATACCTTAAAGTCTACTGTAACCGGGAAAATTTCATTATTTACACAGACTCACTGAGTGTGCTAAAAGCTCTCGAATCATATGCGAATAACACAAATCTGTTAAGCGTAGAAGTGCTGAAGCTCAATATTAGCTTCAAGGTCAAAGGTTACTGGATCTTTTATTTCTGGGTACCAAGTCATGTTGGTATAAAAGGGAATGTACTGGCGGATATCGCTGCAAAATACGCCTGTGAAACAGACAACCAACCAACCCATCCACTATTCAGATATTAACACTCTGATTGGGAGGAAAATTCTGATGAAATTTCAAAAGCTTTGGGATGTGCAGTTAACCAATAAATTACAAAATATAAAAAACCTAAAATAGAACATTGGAAATGTGCCCTAAACTGAAAGGAGTAGGTCACACAAGGCTAACACACAGGTACCTATTGATGGGCAAAACTTAACCAGTATGTGCTGAATGCAATACTATTTCAACCATTAAACACATTTTAATTTTTAATTGCTGTCAAAATTAATATTTTAATAATTGTAAGATTTCAACAAAAGATTTAGTTGGTGAAGATCCACATTTTAACATTTTTAACTTTTTAAAAGCTACAAAGTTTTACCATGTTATTTGAATGCCCTGAATTCAATTTGTGTTTCAGAAGGTCTAACTGGAATCTAGTTATATTCATATTATCAATATGAATAACATCATGGTTTGAAGATAAATATAAGTGAAATTTATCCTTTGAATATAGAGTTTTCTATCTGTACGTGTTCTTATCTTTATTATTTTAAGTTTTGAGAATCCACAACATTTTGTTTGGTGCAATATAATTCCCATGGGTTTTGTGCCAAAAAAAAAAAACCCCAACCAACCAACCATAAAAATGAAGTGCTCTCCATCAAAACTGGGGGTGGAACTGAGCTAAATCGCATTGTCATCTGTAAGGTGCTCAAGGTTGTTGCGAACGACGGGTATATTCTAGCGCTCCTTGCCGTGAGGATTTCCGTGGGTTGGGCTGACGGCATCAGACAAGTGAGCATAAGCAACAACAATATATATATGTTTTAAATGCTTTTATTTTGCTAAATGGAAAAATTATTGCTGATAAGCAAGAAAGTGAATTATCTTTGAATTTTCAAATCCTTTCATCATCTGTAATTACAGTTCCATTTGTGAAGGATATTTTCAAAGTTCTAAAAGAATGTTTTATTGAAAAATATAATGTACTTTATATGAAATGAGAATGTATTTGAATTTATTGTATTTTTTATGAATATCTTTTCTGTATATTTTACTTATGTTTATGTATATATACAGGTTTCTAGTGTAGGTAAATATGGAAACTGCTGCAATAAAAATAAAGTCTAGAATTCATTGTGATGGTGACTATGGTACAGTTTTGTATGTAGGACAGATTTTAGGAGTAGATGGTAATTCTTTAACATTTTTATTAATATTATTTTCTTGAAATTTATAAATAAAAATTGAATATGTATAAGCTTAATTATTGCCAATATTTAATACTAAGATATACAAGTTTTCCTAGTATTATGTAAGCACAGCATTCCTATGAAATCTTTTGTAAGCCAAAATGATTTAAAATTAAAAGGCAAATACTATTAATTTATATGGGAAAAGACTTTGAACTTTTTTAGGCCTTCAAAGAAACATACCAAAGGGCTTTTAAAAGCTAAATAAATAAATAAAACAAATAATGTTATAGTAAATGCAAAGTTCATATAAATAGAAATTGCCTGTGTTGTGCAGTTTCAATTGCTAAGAGTTGAAAAAAATGAAAAGAGCAAAAGTACAAATTTAGCTCTTTCATAAATGGAAAATTTTGTTAACCAAACATTTGTAAAATGGAGATACCTATCTCTGAGATGCTGTATAATATTCATTTGTTTTAAATAAAAGAACTGAAGTACTTTAGATTGGCATTCAAGATACAGATGATTCTGAAATAAAGAGTAGGTCTTTGTTGCATTGTTATGAAAAACTGGATATTGTTTGTGCATTAAAAAATTAAGCCATATGTGCTTTAATTAATGAGGACTGTAATAATTTTTAATCATGGAACAGAGTTTATTCTGATAACAGAATCATTAAATCTAGTTACTATTTATTTTGAATAAATATTATAAAAAGTATCCCATTTAAAAAATTGCCAGAGTTTACTTATACATACAAATTAATTGGTATACATGCTGTTGGTGTATGTGCTGCTTAGTTGGTATAAATTAGGAGTTCTCAACCAGAGGAAAATTTCATAGTTTCAGGGGGAAATGCAGTCAGCGGTATTGTCCCATCTGGCAGTCTACCAAATTTTGTTAGTTAGTTAATCAGCTTTAAACTAGATGGCATTACCTTTTTTTTTTTTTTTTCAGATTATTTTGTTTGTAAAAGCAATGTTTATGCTTATTGTTTCTTTCATGTGCAATTTTTCCATTGAATTTGCAAAGAGTTTTTAAAATGCTGTCTTTGAATATTTCTCAAATAGAAGTTTATATATATAGTTATTTGTGTTTTCTTTTGACATGTTGATAATGTTTGTTGACTTATGATAAATATCCATAGTTAGGCAATCTTTTTAGAAAAAATTGTCAACTTGCACCCCATAAGTAACTTTTTTCTTCTGTGAAAAATTGCCAGATTGCACCAAGGTGGTTATGTTAATGCGTAAGCACCCATTCTAAATTTCAACATTTGTTTATTACATCTTGAGAGTGTAGACTATCTGTTCACATCAATTTAAAATTCTTGCAAACCCTACAACTTTGATACAGCTTTTGAGTATGACAATAACACAAAAATTCTTGCATTATTGATTTTTGGGGAAATAAATTGTTAATAGTGTTAGTTCACTTAAATATATCAACATAATTTTTTACAATTAAGGTTATGGTTTGGAAGGTGAACCCATTATAGCTGATATAATTTATTGTTGGAAATTGATGAGAAATAAGCTGTAACACATTTTTCTTATTGTGATTTAAAAATTCACCCAAAAAGGTACCAGTGAATCTGAACCTATTTTAGCAATGTGAAAATCATGAATGAGTAAATGCTTAGAAAGGGAGCAAGTGTTTTGATTATATATTATGCAGGAAGCCATTTGTTAGCATTAAATGGCTCTTCTTGTTCCACCACTTTGAACTTTTCCTTGTACTGACACTCTTTTCTGACCTTTGCATAGTTATTCTTTCAACTGTACTTTTGCAATAGTACTGACCCCCCCCCAAAAAGTATGTTTGATACATGAATATTATGTGGGATGCTATATTTACAGAGGTAGCCCCATCCTTTTTTGCTACTTGAGAAAGAAGAGGTTAGAAACATATTAATATGAAAAAATATTACTAAATGCATGATTTGGTCTTCTGTTATATTTATTCCTTTAAATAAATTATTTATAGCTTTGTAAAGCTGATTTTTAATGTTTACTTGAATTTTAAAATTAAACTGTAATTAATTAAGCACACTTAAAACTCATTTAAGTGAAAATGTTATTGTCTGTATGTATCTCAGTTAACTAAATAATTGCTTTTGTTATATTTTATTGACAGAAATACAGTCTAGTGTTAAGTTTGCATGAGATTATCAAGTTGGGAGGGATCTTAACCATTATTAAGATCAATCTCATAGTTGTGTTATAAGTTACATTTTTACTATTATGCTTTTTTAGCTGCAATTTTTATTTCTTTATTGCTAATTAATGTTATTAAATTGGTGTATTTTTCTGAGTTTTATATTGCAAAAATTAATTCATAAGAATACAACAGATTCTTAATTAAACAGGAATGGTGTTCATACTAAACTAAACTAAACTCAGTGGCACAACAGCCCTAGTGGGCCGTAGCCTGCAGTGTCCTAATATCTGCTTTCCTGACCGTGGGTCCTGAGGCGGATGAGCATATGCCTTGAATAAGTTGTCAGCTTGTCACAGGAACCCCAGAGTTTAGTCTCCAAGTTAACTTGGTACTAATTTTATTGACCCACTCAAGGAATGAAAAGATGAGTCAACCTTGCCCAGCTCGAGGATCAAGCCCCGGACCTACGGTGCTGGTGTGCGATGCACTAGCCATTGTGCCATTGGGCCTAATGGTGTTAATGGTTAACTCAAACTAACAGTTAATATGACAGCAATTAAAAAAAAAAACAGGAAGGAAGAATAATTCATGTTAGCAGAAAAAATAGGGAAAGGTAGCTTATTTGGACCGCTATGATATACAAAGACTGATATCTGCAAGATTTGAGATAGGCATTTTCTTATACATAGATATAGAAAAAGTAAATGCAATTGTGTTTGTAAGGAAACGCCTCGTGGTTACATTGAGCGAAGTGTTATTCGTTTGGCTAAGAAGAAAATCTGTTATTTTGACATAAGTGTGAAAGCAGTTAATTCGTCTAAACCAGTGGTTCTTAACCGAGGGGGGGTGCAGTAATGTATTTTTGGGGGTGTGGGAGAAGCCCCTACCTAAACATAAAAATTATTAAATATCATTTATTAAATTTCTTATACAGTCAAAAGTTGTTAATCCGTCGGGACTTCGGCGATTCCGGATTATCGATTTTTCCGGAACAATTATGATCTAAAGAGTATCAAAATTTACAAAAAGAAAAAGCTTAATACTTATTTGTTTACTTTATTAAACATTTCTTTCAATGTAAGTTGCTTCGTTTCATGTGATAATACTTTCTCTTTAATTCTATTAAGCAGATATAATTTCTTGTTTAGTTACAAAGTTCCGCTGTTTAAGTCCTATAATTGCTGTGTTGAGAATACCGACTAATTTGTCAATCGAAATGTTTTCATTTTCAATAACCTCTGGGTCACTTTCTTCACTATCGGAAGCGAATTATAATGATGAGAAACTTGATTTAAATCATATCAAAGACGGAATACATCGAGATGAAATACTACACTTAGTAAGGAATTATAAGCCAAATAAAATAAAAACATCTGCCCTGAAGATAAGGATAGTGCTGACAGATCAACTTCCAATCCGCAGCGTCAAATTGATAAACAGATTTCGGATTTCGAAACATACTTTCGCTTTGTAGATACAAATTACATATTAGTAAATATATATCAGAAATTCTATTTGACATAATCGAAAGTTCAAGCTTACTTTTATGAAATTGCTCCAACAGTCTGCAAAAAATAATAAGCCAGATCCAATTCGAAGAAAGGAACAACGCAATCTGCAACATTATACCGTCCGTTACACATTAAACGCGCATGCGCACAAACATATTCGCAGCCATAAAGGTCTTATGCGCACTCATAAACGCCTGTGCGCATGCGTGAACGCCACGCATGCGCAGAAAGTTTGTAGCTTTGAAGTCCGGATTATAGATCATTCCGGATTATGGGTGTCTGAATTAACGACTTTTGACTGTAATAAAATATTTGAAATCTGCTATAGTGTCCCCAATATTGAAGTTCTTAAAAATTGGTAGCACCTAGCTCACTTGTCAGCAAAAGACACAGGAAAGAGCCGGTGCCGATGGGCTATACACTACGCTACGAAAAAGCATGAAACGCTACAAACGAACGCTAACAGGCAGCTAGGTGACGGAGAAAAGAAAAAAAACTTTGTGGCAATACAAGCGGAGAACGTTATCCCAGCTTGCGCATGCGCTGAGTTCAATATGTGCTACTCCAATGGAATCTATGGATTCACAGATTTGTATCTTCATATACTGCGCCTGTGTTAAGTTGAGTCAACTATTGTGTCTGCGACATGTGTATTGTGTATTCTGACTTGTCCAGAAACCTCTTGAGACTACTACATTCTTAATTGCCCGTTCAAGCCGAATAGGATTCAGTGATATTACAAACGTAAGAACATTATATATATATTACATTATTTCTAAATAATTAAATCGATTATAGTGAACCCCACTATGCCAAAAAAACGACAATGGAACGATAAGTATGCCGGTTATGGATTTACCTGCACAACCGAAAAAGATGGCACACAACGACTGCAATGCATCTTGTGTTTTAAGATATTTTCAAACAGCAATCTCAAACCATAAACATCAAGTTATTAGAGGATTTCAACAATCTGCATGGTGGCGAAAAAGCGCATAGCATGAACACAGCTTGGAGTCAAAGAAGGCTCGGTTTGATACCAGTGGAACTATCCTAAAATTATGCAGACGTCATATCAAGTGGCATATTTATGTGAAGCGTCATATCCTTTATTTGAAGCGTCATATCAAGTAGCATATTTATGTGAAAAAAAAAAAAAAAAAAAAAAAACCCTCACACCTCACACGATCGCTGAAGAGTTGATTTAAACCTTCTGCTTTAATTATTGCTAAAACAGTTTTAGATTCAGGAAGCACATAAAAAAATCCAACAGATTCCATTATCGAATGCGATCGTGAATACAAGATTTCAGTGAAGATATTTTAATGC